TAAAGTTTAGACACCACTGACCATCACTTGTCATCACGGAGAAGAAATCAAGAGAAATCAACAACGTTAATAAATGTTCTCATTTTGTGCCTCGAGATCAAAAGCACATTATTATCTAATAAGACACACAGTGTAAATTGAAGGGAGCAGTTTTAGGTGATGCCTAAAATGTCGTCATTAAATATTGTTGTTCTGCACTTTCACATTTTAATAATGTTGAAAGTTAAGTCATAAAAATATCTTTCCACTTCCCTGTCACTATCACAAAGTCGATGTTAGTCTTACAGTGTTATTGCATATTACATTTGAGAGTCTTCCCAGCATGCAGCAGTTCTGACGACATGACAGAGTTCAGGGAACTTCCTGCTCGACAGTACGTTTTCTCTCAGATCAGATGAGGAGCAGCTCACCTGCCGTCCACGCAGCAGAGGCAGGAAGCGAATCTCCGAGGAACCCTGCGGGTGTTTCACACCATCTGTCAGGTAAAGATTAAACAACGGTGGAGTTTTGACAATAGTTCCTCTTACATGCTGTGTTCATACTGCAGTCCTAAAGTCTAAAGAGATAAGATACATGACTCTTTCCTTCACCTTCGCTTCAAGTGTCTGCACTGTCAGGTCGGAGATTCCCATGTGCCTGATAAAGTCCCAAAGTTTGCTTTAAGAATCTGATTTATTTCAGAGCATGTAGGTCAAAGTGTCAGAGGAGAAACAGTTCCAACTGTGTTTTCTGTCTCTGGCACCGTGACAGTATTAGTATTACACACAAAACATGACGAAAATGTACATGAAATAATAAAGTTGAAGGTGCACGATTCTACATTTTGTTCTGGCTGATTGATCAGTAACTGTTGAGTTTGCAATTCATTGTTTAAATGTAGATTTATTTCATTCGTCACCAGTAACAGATCAAATGATCCGGAACTTGCACGATGGTTCGTCTGATCTGAACATTTCTTTGGCCTCACTCTTCAATGTTCGGCCTTTTTCTTTCTCGCTCCAGTTTGACTTAGAGCTAATGAATTTATTTATGTAACAGATTTATTTTGGCAGAGCAGCACAGACAGTTCCCCACCGGGCGTCTGTAGCTCAGAGTCATGTCGTTCTCTGCCACACGCACTTTGATTAAATCATAGTTTGTCTTCAATTATTGAAACGTTCAAATGTTTTTCTTTTATTTTTGGGGTTTGTTTATTCTGGATAATCTCAGTCTTCAGAAATACATGTTCACAGTTTAGAACCTTGAACTTCCAGTCTTATGATTATTTGTGAGCTCACAGATGGTGTGATTTAATGAAGCAGGTTTCCGGGGCAACAGGAATAAATTTCTTGAGGGTCAAATATTAAAGTTGCCAGACCTGATTACCACTAAAAACTCAACAGCCTGTGATTTACGGCGCCTCATATCCTTTAACTACTTACGATTATAGCTTCTGTGTCTCGATATGATTGAACAAACACTGAGAAATGAAATGATGTTGACTTGAAAACCTGTTAACACCAACGAGTCGGATTCAAAGAGCTTTGTAATGTGACTTTACACCTGGAAGACAGAAAACTGTTTCCCACCTCTGCACTGAACCAACAGGGAGAAGAGAAATGACGTCAGTACAAAGTTGTGACCTGCAAATTTTTCTTTCTCAAACATTCCTAAAATAGATGTGTAAAGTTAAAGTATCTACATTTTACTCAAACAGTGAGGGAGGGGACTTTATTTTTTACTGTTTCTATTAAAAAGCACAACGTCTACAGAGGGAGCTCGTCCCCCCCCACAAACACAGTGAAGCTCCTGAAACACCTCGTCAGACGCTCGGCTGATTACTTCCACACCGCTGTGATGTTTGTGACTATTTATTAATTGTTGTCGGGACATAAGATAAGGTAAGATAAGAAAAGATATGGTAAGATAAGAAAAGATAAGGTAAGAAAGGATTTACCTTTATTTGTCCTAGAGGAAATTCACAATAGAAATAGGAATAAAAATAGAAATACAATGCTGGTAATCAAAGTTCATGTGCATTCTGTGTGATAGAAAAATGTGCAGCAGTGGATTTGAACAAATAAGATTAAAAGTTTTCGTCATGACTTCTCACAAAATCAGAGGAGTTGGTTGAACCTGTGGATTTTGGGGCTGTTCAGTAATCCTGTCACGTCTCCTGTAAACACAAGGGCTGTGTGCACCCCCTTGTTGAGAGTGTGTTTGTCTTTTACCTGTGCACTCACAGCCGCAGCAGGAGCAGAAAGAGTGGAGGAGTCAAGTGGAACATTCGGTAACTTAAAAAGAGTTCAAAATGTCAGGTTTCAATCCTGGCAGCCTGCGAAGAGGTCAATGGGACAATGAGGGAACAAAACACCCTCAGGAGAACAAGCAATTTGTCTTCAAACCTCACGGCTACAGGCCACTGAAGCAAACTACTTTACAGCCACACTTACATTTCCTCCACATCCTCGGCCCCATTCCCCTCCATTACAGCGGAGATAAGGCCGAACCCTCGGTGCCCAACATGCAGCAGAGAACGACACACAGAAGAGTTGACTCCTCTCTGAAACTGGGTGGTTTCTCTCTCTTTTTTTCCAGCAGCTTGATCTCTGCTCCGCTCTCAAAGAAAGTCAGAGCGTCTTTTCTGTTTCAGTCACGAGCAGCAGGCGTCCGCCAGCCTGCAGCTGCTGCTCGGAATGTAAAGCAGAGTCAAAGTGCATCGATCACCAGCTCAGTGCTCCGTCCTTCAATACACTGTATATTACAAGTGTGGATAAAAAATTAAATAAAAGATGGCGCAGCAGCTCTGGAACACAGTGAAACTGATTCATCAGAGACACACTGAGCCTTTAATGCTTCAGTCTCCTGCTAATAACTGTTCTCCTGAGCTCACTGTGGCTTTGTCTCCCTGTAATACATCATGATGGATGACAGCGCTGCTTTTAATTCAACTTACTTTTGCAAAATGTTATATTTAAAAAAACTTGCTGTTCACGAAATGTATGTTACCTGCTTGTGTCTGTGATTTCCACTCAAAGTTCATGAGCTTAACAAACACTTCAACTGTAATTCCGAGGCCGTCCCTCAGGCTCTGCTCCCTCAGTGCTGCACATGCACTGCGCTTGTTGATTTACATGTCAGTTTATAGAACCACAAGAAATGTAAACTCCTTTAGTCGGGAGAAAACTCATTAATGCGCCTTTGTCCTTCTGAGAATTCCTGAGAATTCATGAATAAAGTCTTTACTCCACTGCCTGGTGACAAAACCTCTCTCTTCTGGTCACAATGCAATTTTAGTGAAAGCACGGCTCAGTCCACTAAGAGGTGAAGGGAATATTTCTTTGGAATTAAAATGATAGAAGCTCTCTCCACTCTCCTGTTACGGTTCACGACTGCCAAGTACTTTTTTCAAACCTTTTTTTCTCGAAGCAGCAGCTGGAGGTGGTGAAATTATTTGTTCGGTGATGAGTCTGTGAAAGCTGGTTAACACAACGTGAGATTGTGTTTTCACTCCACTGTGGAGCTTTTCACTCATTTTGTGGTTTAATGAGAGGAGGAGGAAGCAGCTCTTCACTGGGACCATTGAATATCTTGTTGTCTTCCTCAGGTTCCGACAGGTTTAACATTCGGTTTCAGTCTGATCGGAGCTTTAAACTTTCTGCTGGTCCCTCTGTGTGCGGCGAGTCCACAGGTGTGTGATGTTCAAGTTGAGTGTGTGTGTTGGTGCCCTTGTATCTCAGACACTGGAGTTATCTTCTTCCTGTTTGCTCCCCTGCTGTCAATTCCCCCCCCCCCTCCCGACTCTCCCTGCACCACCTCCCCTCTCTCCTCTGTGTTTTAACGTACAGACCCTGCCTGAAAGTTATCGACAACACCTCCTCTCTCCTGCGGCTTCACAGTTGCATCACTCGTCCACTGAAGGAGGAGTGAGCGATCTCTGTGCCGCAACACATGCATCAGTGAGTATTACACACTGAGTCCATTAGTCTTTTGAGTGGGAACCCCCGAGAACATTACAGTACTCCCAGGCTACCATACAATGTGCCACAAAGAAACGTCTAGAAACAGACTCGGTGTGGGTGACATCTGCCTCGACGGGGGAGAGAAAGGAGATGTGGGTGGAAAAGAGGGGAGAGGAGAGAGAGAGAGGAGAGAGAGAGAGAGGAGAGAGTGCAGGAACAAGAAGAGGTTTATTTTGAAGGGATGCCATTTGTTTAGTTCAGTTTAAATGTGGAGCATAAGAAATTTTTCAGGCTGCAAAAAATATCACATGAATTCCAAACGTCAAATCAAGTCAAAGTTTACAGCTGAGCAGACTTCAAATACAAAAATAAAATAAAATAAACATATATAAATAACTTTATTGCCTCATGCCAACCAGGACAGATTCTTCATAATATTATTTTTCCAATGTGACCTTTGACCACTGCAATCGAATCATTTAATTGTCGAGTCCAATGGACAACTTATCAAAATAAAGTTATAGCATGACCTTGATATTTGACCTTTGATCACCAAAATCCAATTTGCTCATCTTTGATCCAGGTGAACGTTTGTACTAAATTTGAAAAAGAGTTTTTTGGAAATTATCACAAAAACAGGACGGACAACCTACAAACATTATGTCTTTGATTGGTTTGACTTGAACTCAAAATCTTTCATCACACAACTTTAACAGAAGTTGAAATTTGTTTCATTCAGTCATCATCATCATCATCATCATCATCATCATCATCATCATCATCATCATCATCATCAAACACTCAGCAGGATCAAAGCCTCAGGTTTTGTTGGTGGAAACTGGACCAATGGTACAAAAGTTGCCTAAATCATAACAACCAGCTCTTTGTATGGTGGTCTTCCCTCCCCCACCCCCCACCCACCCACTCTCTCTCTCTCTCTCACTCACTCCCCCTCTCTCTCTGAGCAGATCTCTCTCGGAGCTGGAGAGGAGAGGTTGCTCGTCCCTCTCTCTTTCTCTCTGCTTCTCCTCTCCTCTGCAGCCTCCCGTTCGCTTCACCATGGATCTGTGGACTAAATCAGTCGCTTGGATTATCTCCCAGGTCTTCGTGCTTCTCTCCAGCTCGTGCGGGACAACAGGAGGAGAAGGTGAGCATGCGTGGCCGTGCGCTCTCCTATACTTTCCCCCGGAGGAGACGGAGCGGGTCCGGGCTGCTCAGACCCCGGAGAGTCGCCTTTAAATGTGGGGTTCATGCTTGTGTCACCTTCTCTGGGAAACCCTTGACTTCTGCAGATTGGTTGCGGTTATATTCTCCAACATTAATAAAACGCAGGTGTTTGGATGTCGGATGGTGCGTCTCCGTTGCGCACAGGCTCTCCGTCGTAAAGTATGAATAAAGGGGGAGTTTACGTGGTTTTATATGAATGGTGTTGATTTATTTACGACTAACATAAGAGCAGATGACATTTAAACCCCTGTGGACTCACATAAGGTGATTTAAAGAGTGTAGTTAATGGACTTTAGTATAAATCCAGTTTTGTCGCATTCAGTTAGCTGCTAATTGTCTTCCAGGGTTAAAACGTCCATTCCCTCATCGGGACCTTTGCTCAGTGGATATGGTTAACCCCCCACTCGCGTTAGAAGTTCATCCATTATGTGCGTAAAAACAATGTTATAGGCCATCGTGGTTAATTTGGTGCGCAGGACACCGTGATGATTCGTGCTCACACGCTCCAGAGAGCATGAGTGTGAGCGGTTTGTGCAGGTTGGAGAGGTTGCTGGTTTGATTCTCTCACTTCTCTAATGAACTGCTGAGATGATTTGTGCCTGTGGAAGCTCATGTCTGCACGAGAAAGAAAACAAGATGGAAAAATGTATTTTGAGTTGACTTGCAGGATTTTTTTAACCGGGTGGCAGGAAGGGGCTTCTATATGTGCCAAGGTGTAGCTCAGCAGTGGATGTGCAGGTTTATGTCTGTTCTCCTGCAGGAGGACGAGAGGGAGAGAAAAAACCAAACAGACAAATGAGGAGGAACCACATGAAGGAGGTGATGAATCTCAGAGTGTAACGAGACACGTCTGTTTGTAATTGAAGCAGATGGCTGTAAAAGTTCTCCATCCATCCATCCATGCTTTTACTCTCCTCTTCCACAACTCCTTTAAATAGCCACCTGCTTTTTATTTTATTTAATCTGCTGTGTGTTTGTCCTTTCATCATCCCAGTCGTCTCCCTCCCTAGCTTCCCCCTGAGCTTTAATCTTCTTCATACTCATCCTTCTTCTTCTTCTCTCTGGGAGGGCATTCGGCTGTATACGACAGGAGAGCAGTGTCGAGAGACAGATGGTTTCTCCCACGCCTGGAAAGGTGAAGGGATAATGGAGGAGTTTGCATTTAGAAGAGATCTCTCGTCTTTTAGATTTCTCTTTTAAATATCTAAATAGTTTCTTCATTGAAAACATCTCCTTCCTGCTTTTTGAACCAGATGTGCAGCTGCTCTCCATTCGTCGTTGTGTTCGCTGCTTTTTTTTCTCAAAATTTTGATTTGAAAATGTCAAATTAAGAACAGGCTCGGAAATCACTGAGGTTCGATGGTCCTGATGCTGACGAGACATTTGGCTGAACAACAGGAGACGTTAACAGAGAGCAATTGCTTCTCCTGCACATGGAAAGATGAAGGGAGAACGGAGGCAACCCAAGGAGGAGTAAACATTAATCTCCTTCTCCTCCTCCTGCTGCTCTCTATTCCTTCATCTCCTAAATGCACTTTTCTTTTTGTGGATTGAAAAAGTCACACGAGCAACACGGTCAGAAATCACTGAGGTTCGATGGTCTTGCATTAGAAGTGTGACAGAGACAGATTGATTCTCCTGCAGCTGTGAAAGGAGAAAGGAGGCGATGCAAGGAGGAGCATACAGTTAGAATAAAACTGTTTCCCACAGTTTTGTCAAAATATCTGAATGTCTTTCTCCTCTCAAACCTCCTTCCTGCTCTGTGACTCAGATCTGCAGCTATCTCTCCATTCGTCTTTCTGCTCTTGTCCTCCTGCTGTTTCCTTTCACTTTCTTTCCTCTTTCCTCTTTCTGCACAGATCTCTGCCCTCCTGCTGTATCTGAATCAGAGAACTGCCGCGGTGCTGCTCGCCCCTTTCTTCCTGATTCCTCCTCTTTACGTTCCCCTTCTCCCTCTGTCAATTTTCTTATGACCACATCACCTAATCTTTCTCTCTGCGTGTTCTCTCCTGCTGTTCTTTTCTTCCTCGCTGCTTCCTCAGGTTGATGCCTGTTTCTCTTGTTGCCTCGTCTCTGCTGCTGCTTCATCTCGTCCATAAGTCCCAGTTATCGCTAAAAACTGTTTTGACAGAGTGAGCAGGAACAGCCTTCGTGTGCGTGTTCAGTTTTGTGAATTAGAAATTCAGTTCATTCAACAGCTTTTAACGTGCTTTGATCAAACGTGGTCATAATAACACAACAAGCTTTCAAATGCAGAATGGATCAAAGAGGAAATATATTATCAGCTCAGGCTCTGTTGGAGCACAAACATTCACTCCTCGCTCTTAATTGGGCTCAATTAGCAAGAGTAACAGCAGTTGGCATGAGAAGAGATGATCACAAAAGAGCCAGTGAATCTATATGTGACTGAAAGTCCTCACAGTTTAATGGACTCACTGAACGGTGAAGACAAAGGCAAAGAATAGAGACGCTGCTCCTGATTGGTCTGTGAGCGACTGGTTTTAAAGTCTCCAGTTTGTTTTGGTGCTTTATGGAATATTTGGGACCATGATTTATAAAATGAACATCAGCTGTATTGCAGAAGACTTGAAACGAGAGATTGAGACTCTGAAATGTTTACTGACGTTATAAACTCATGTAAATGAGAAGAAGAGAAGAGTCATTTACTCATAGACCGATATAAATCTTTTTCCAACCAGTGGAGTCGCCCTCTGCTGGTCATTCGGGAGACTACAGGTTTTCACTTCTGCATTGGCTTCACTTTCTGGACCCGGAGTCTACGGCCATTTTATTTTATACAGATACTATACTATGACTGAGAACAATGCAGATGCTTTATCTTTTCTCAGTTTCACGTCTCTTCTGTCTCAGTCAGGCAGATGTTTGATATCTGAAACCCAGATGGATGAAATTGTGAAGGAGAGGTTTTCCTGTATGATCTACAAAGCTCCAACATCAGAGCTCCATCGTGTCAGAGGTATAAGACTGATCGATGCTGTATATCTAATTAAAGGTCAATATTGTCCTGGTGTCTCAGCTTCCTTCTGGTCCAGCAGGAGATAGGATCAGTAGTTTCATGTCGTGACTCTCGTGTTTCCTCTCGTGTTCTCTTTTCTGTCGCTGCCTCGGCTGCTTTGTCTCCCCGACTCTCTCTCCACTCTGTGTATCTCGCCCGTCCTGACCCAGCAGCACTCATCATACACGGACCATAAACCACAGCAGCATAATAAGTAAAGTCTGCGGAGGTGGAGGGATCTCAGCTGCAGGTTTCAGACTCAGCTTCATCTGTCCATCCCCACCCCTGGAGAAAGTTCACTGTTCATTATGGAGGTGGAACACAGTGACAACAAAGTAGAGATACATATTTTAAAAGCCACAGATGGCGCTCCGACGACTAGTTAGCCAGAGGAGAGAGGAGCGGGGGTTCTGTATGTGCTGTGATTCGAGGAAGTCAGCGTGTGGAACAGTTACCTGCAGGGCTGGAAAACCAGTGTGTGCTTAATCGCTTTTTGATTTTAACAGCATGAGAGAGTCACCGTGTGTTTTTAAGCACCTTCTTGCACAGAGGTATATGAATGAGGGCAGGTCGGCTCAGTGTTTACAGAGACCATAACTGTGTCATCCACCGCATAGACCGTAGCCATTCAATCTTATGGTGATCCTGAGAATGCTGAGGTGAAATCACTGCCAAAGGCCACGAAGAAGAACAGTAAAGTTCCAGATTGTAAAACTCAGAAGAACTAGAATGTCACTCAGTGGAGAAAATACCTCCAACCGAGCCCAACAGTCCCCTTACCACATTTTAATCCACTACATTTTTTTACACACTGCTGTGACCCCTCAAAGGCTCATCACAAACATAATTCAGATAACATGTAAAAAAGGAAAAGAAGAGAATAAGAGAATGGCACTCAGTAGAGCTCACACCTCCAACAAGGCCCAACAGTCGCCTTCAATCCAATTAAGCTGCACCCAATTGTATACACTCACAGATATAAGTTCCCTAAATATGCTTAATCTTTTCCTGGGGAATTTATGAAAATGACAGAAAACGCAAAAGTAAAGAAAGTGATTTCCAAAAACTGTCTCCTCCCTGGTACATTTTATGTCCCATGAGTTAAGTCCATATAAGTTGGTTTATCACGTAACACCCCTTACGTTAGTTATCTGATGGAACTTGGCGCCTCCCTCGTATTTTGAGTTTGAGCCTATTTTCATGTTTTGAAAGGTAAGTGATCATAACGAGAGTAGAAAACTTGGCTTTCAAAAGATGAGGTCAGCGCTGTGGTTGTAAAAACAGCGAGGGCGTCTTTTGTACCGATGTTGCACTTGCACTCACAAAATCACACGGGGAAGAAATCTATCATAAACAGCAAGAGGGACCAATTTCTCCAGCCGGAGCAGAGGAGGAAAAAGCCCACAATTGAATGTTGCCTCGGGGAAAGCTGTGCTCTGAATAAAGCATGTGTCTGTCATTGTAGATACGCGGCACAAACAAGTCAGCCTCCAACTTGTTTGTATGCCCATACACTCAGCTTTGATCGAACAAACAAATTATCACTGGATGTATTGCTGCAGTGGAGAAGGAATCCAGTGCTAAATATGGCAGTAAATTGCTGCGACTGTTTGAACATCACAGGCTGATGAGATGTGAGAGTTTCAGAGTGTCTCTCTGTGGATTCTTCCTCTTCCTGTGAAATCAGGCTGTAACCTCTGTGAGTGTGCAGGTTGTTTCCCAGCGGCTTAACAGAGGAAAAACTTCAGAAAGTTTGTTATGAGCTCATAAAAGTAATTGTTGCAGACACTCAGCTGAACCTGAACAACCCGCGGCACATGAATCCGCACTTTTGTTTCAGGGTGTAGAATAAGTTTGTCCTGTTAGTTGGATGCTACTGCAGCTGTAGACAGAAGCTTTTGGCT